AAAAAGGCCGGATGTGTATGATGTGGCTGTCATTTCAAACTCTGCCCAATCTGTCTTTATAATGAACAGACTACGCGCTCTAGCTAGCTAAGCTTGGATATATAATTAAACTAGTACTTGACCCGCGCGTTGCGCGACCTGGTGTTAAGAAATGGTGTGAATGATGTATAATTTAAATAAATACAAATTATTCATAAAATATTCGTAGAGATAATAAAAACGTAGGTTGAAAATTTTATTCATTATATTTTAAAATATTTTTCTAAATATAATATTATCAATGGATGAATTGAATTCATGTTACCATTATCATCATAAATAATAATTATCAGACAACACAAATTGTGATTATCGAAAAAACAACATATAACTGATTGTGATTATAGAATACCATATGTATTTTTCATAAATATTTTCAAATTAAACAAATTTAACTTTAAAAAGTATTTGTCATATTCGATGAAAATTGGTATTTGCACATTAATGACACTTCTTGAAACTTTTTCCCTAAAAATGGCTTGATAATAACATAATTTTCTACATTTGTGAATAACTGAAGACGTTATTATTATTATATAGATAAACTGATATAGAATAATTGAAATAAACATGTACACATATGAGCCAATTAAAATTCAGATATATAAATTAAATATTCAAGAAAAAATATAAAAATGACTCAATTTTGAATCGCATGCATTTAATTTCAAATTAGGTCCAAATGTATTGAATTTTTTTGTAATTGGAAAAATAAATTTAAATTATATTTATTTGCAAAATAAGTCCGGTGGTGATCAGAATGACGTGCAAGATGGATCACATTTTGTAAAGTTACAAATATTCACAATAATCGTTAACAATCATGTCAATAACAAATCACTTATTTTTTGCACGTAATTTATGCGGAATGTAATCTAATATATTTTTTTAGATATGACATTGATAGAATTTTCATAAAATGATAATAAAAGACATCAAATAATATTATATAAATTATAAAATAGTAAAAATTATTTGATAAACTGACATTTATGATATATGATAACAAAAGTAGTTGATGCATTATTGTAAGTAACATTGAATTTTATCTACTGCAAAGATTTAGCAGTGATAATATATTGTTGTCATTATCTTAAGAAAAAAAACACGTGTTATAATAATAAAAAGTTAACAATAGTTAACACATTGTGCTAATTTTATTTATAAAAATTTATAATTGCATACATGGATCAATGAAGAGATTAACAATGTAGGCAGACAATTTAGTCTCAAACTTTTAGATGACCTCGGATTTAAGTCTAAATGAAATAAATGATATCAACCAACTATAAATAAAATAAACAAACTATGTATTTTGCGCTCAAGCTATTCAATGTTATGCTTTTCACATCGGGTGTTTACAAAATCATACAAAATGTCTCATATATAACAAACATTCCATTAAATAATTGAATGATAAATATATATTGTCTTATTCAGTCTTCCTAGTTAAAATCATATCATCACTCTTTCTCTCCAATATGGTTGAGACACCCTTACTCTTTCTATTAACAATTTTTTTTTTTATTTCTTTCACAATATTATTCTGCAATATTAGTCTATTTCTCACTCACAAATGAAACCAAATTCAGATGTCACGTTCAAACACTAAAATCATCTAACTTTTATTTTGTATACAAATTGTATCAATAAATGTCCATCTAAAAGTGAAAAAAAAGTATATAATTATATATATATATATATATATATCAAAATAGATTTTTACTATATACTTTCAAATGTTTTTTTTTTTAGATCATATTAAGGTAATAATTAAGATGATCACGCCAATGATTATATCAATAACCAACACTTATTATGCACTAAATTTATGAGAATCATAATTTAACATATTTTGTTATAAATACACATCGATAGAATTATTGTAAAATAATAAGAATAAAGTATTTAAAATATAATACATAACACTAAAACAATAAAAATGTAATGTATGATAAAAAAAATGTTGTCGTATCTGTGGTATTTCGTGCAGAAATTTATTTATCGTAATGTTGTGATGAAAACCATATCTTTCCATCATTCTTATGAAACAATATAGATGTACGAATAGAAAATTAACAATAAGTTAACTCATTATGTTTTTTTCTTTTTCAAGAATTATAATTTTATAATTCAAATGATGACAAAAAAATGTATGCACATACGTCTAGATGGCCTCTTCAATAATTTGACAAAAATAAAATAAATGATGCCAACTAAAAAATATTAAATAAATTTTGTATTTTTGTGTCAAAACAACACCAGCAACCAAACCAAAACCAATATGATTTTCTCTTCCGTTTCACAATTAAAGACGTGATTTGCGCCTTTCTGAAATCATGCAAATCTCTGAAATTTGTATATTATCATTTTCATTTTTCTAATGTTAGTTCTGGTATATTTATGTATTTTTCTTCCACAAGTACAATCAAAGTTTGATCTTATGTTCGATTCTAAGTTCTCCTTTTTTTGTTTCTTTTGTTTTATTTATTTATTTATTTATTCATATTCATGGTTGATATTGGTAAAAGAAATCTAAGTTCAAATAAATTTTTGTGGAAGTACATAGGTTGTTCACTATTTTCGAGATACTTCGTATGGATATGCATGTTAGTACTCAATATCGTAGATTATACTTTTTGAATTTTCAAATCTCCCTTTTAGTCGAATAAATCACATTATTTATGAGAAATATAACTTTATATTGTATCTGTCTATGTTTTAATTTTTTAAATTTATTAGAAAGCAATATAAAAAAGTATGAAATTTGGTTGAGTATTAGATCGAACACGAAAATTTCATAAGATTCGACCGACTATTTTTTTCCGAACAATATAATTCTATTTTTCATATATTGTTTAGGCTCAAGTTTTGTTTTCTCATGCTACTTATTATCATTATTATTATTATTATTATTATTATTATTATTATTATTATTATTATTATTATTATTATTATTATTATTACTACTACGATACATGTATCGATTATCTATATATTTGTGATTATACTATTTCTTTAGCTATTATATAAATGCTATAAATTTGGCTTCTCAAATGATAAAAATATTGTATGTAGAATGTTTTGAAATAAATGTGGAAATGGAAAACAAAATACATTTATATTTTGAAGGTTAATGAGTTGTGGTTATATTTTGGGAATTAATGGCACAGATTACTACGTAATTTAAATTCGTGAAGAATAACTTCAGTTCAGATTTTTCAATTAAATTTGTGCAATTTTAATCATTAATTTCAGAGAGCATTTTTAAATGTGAGTGGATTGTTTCAGCATTAATACCACTAATAATGACATGTATTTATTATAGTTTAGGCGGGAAATTTTTTTTCTTTGAGCTGCTCCGCTTTAATATATATATAGATTATGATGATTTTCATGTACAATTTAAATAAAATAAAAAATTTAAGTATATTTATTGTGTTAAGTAATAACCATTTAACCGGTATAGGAAAAGACCGCAATTTTTTCCAAGGTGGCCAAGCCATTTGTAAATTTTCAAGTGTAACCTTTCCTTTACGGCGTCAGAAAGTTAACGGCCCAGCAGCCACAGACTAGCAGCAGAAAAGTGAAAAACAGAAAGACTTCCTGACAAAAAAAAAATAAAAAAAAAATATAACAGTCCCTTTACGAAACTATTTTATCGGGATTATAACCGTTAGATCATCGTCGAAAATAATTGATCTAACACTTACAAACCTCGTAAGGATAACCGTTAGTAGCATTTCTCCGGTTTTAAAATCCGAACTTACATATATTTTTGTTATCAAATCCTTACAACACCACTTCGTCCAAAATTACAATCAGACCTTCAAAGTTCAAACTCATGCGAAAATGGCGTCGTCGGCGTCTCCTCTCCTTCTCATCATCTTTATCCTATGCCCCTCACTCCTCCACGCACACTCCGACCTCGAAGCCCTCTTGACTCTGAAGTCATACCTCGTTGGGCCTTTGGGCTCGGGCCTCGACGACTGGTCTGATTCGACGCCTCATTACCCGGACCACTGCTCCTTCTCCGGCGTCGGTTGCGACGCTGACGGTCGCGTGACGTCGCTCAACATCGTCGACGTCCCGCTCTCCGGATCCCTCTCGCCGGAAATCGGCTTGCTGAGCAACCTCGTCAACCTCACCCTCTCAGGGACCAGCCTGACCGGCCCCCTGCCGGCCGAAATCCGCGGCCTAACCTCGCTGAAGCTCGTAAACATAAGCCAGAACGCGTTCGCCGGCGCCATTCCCGGCGAGGTTGTGTCGGGCCTTGCCGACCTCGAGGTGTTCGACGCGCTGAACAACAATTTCTCCGGCGGCCTGCCGGCAGAGTTCGCGCGGTTGAGGAAGCTGAAGTTCCTCAGCCTCGCCGGAAACTACTTCTCCGGCGATATCCCAGAGATTTACTCCGAGTTCCAGAGCTTAACTCATCTGGGTCTGCACGGAAACAGTCTGACCGGAAAAATCCCCTCCGGGCTGGCCAAGATACCCAACCTCCAAGAGCTCTATCTCGGGTATTACAACACGTACTCTGGCGGCATACCGCCGGAGTTCGGCTCCATGGCTCGTCTTCAGCTGCTTGATCTTGGCATGTGCAATTTGAGTGGTGAAATTCCGGCGAGACTTGGGAACCTCAAGCATTTGCACTCTCTGTTTCTTCAGGTAACAGCCATTGATGACAATTTCATTGATTTCACCCTTATTATCCTGAAATTTTGGGTTTTCTACAAATTGATGCAGATAAATAACCTGACAGGCCAGCTCCCGGCGGAGCTGTCCGGCATGACGAACCTAATGTCGTTAGATATCTCCGTGAACGGCCTCACCGGAGAAATCCCCGAAACTTTTTCAAACTTAAAGAACCTCACACTTCTCAACTTGTTCCACAACAAATTCCAAGGCCCTGTCCCGAGCTTCTTCGGCGAGCTCCCGAACCTCGAAGTTCTCCACATATGGAGCAACAACTTCACCCTCAGCCTTCCCGAAAATCTCGGCACTAACAAAAGGCTCACTATGCTCGATGTCTCCGGAAATCGGCTAACCGGCCCCTTACCAAGAAACCTCTG